GCAGAAACAGACACAGGAGCTTCCCCCAAGCCGCTAGCAGCAACAGCGTCACCAGCAGCTGCTCCAGCACCTGATGCATCCGAAGAAGCAAGCAACAGTTCATCATACACCCCGACGGTGAAGCTTGGCCCCCGTTCCTCTTGCGAGGACCTCTCTCCGACTCAACAAATGAGCGGCTCCCAACTGGGGTCCCTGTGGGCGTTGGGGTTCTCTGAAGGGCTCCCGCATGCAGCACCGGTTGCCGCAGCAGCAGCCGCAACAGCATCGCTGCCAGCAGCAGATGTTACCGTGACTGCAAAGCCAGTGGGCAATATACCCAGCAGCAAACACAGCAGGAGACGTAGTAGCAGTAGCAGAGACGAGGCTTCAGGGCGGCTAACACTCGGCAGAGAGAGGAGAGCCTCGGATGCGTCCGAATCCAGTGTATCTGTCATATCTGTTCCCCCTACACCAGCTGCAGGTCATGCAGTTGCACCGGCTGGTGCTGCTGTTGCTGCTCCAGCATCAGATGCAACACAAGTGGAGGAGATCCCTCCGTTTTACAGCAATCCCCGCGATGTCCCTGCTACAGTTAATCCGCTCATGGCGACGCCAGGGGGACGCCTGCACCAGCAGCAGCAGCTAGGGTTGAGACCGCCGCCGTGCGCGTGCGCAAAGGCAAAACCAGCAACAGCAGCAACGGCAGCAACAGCAACGGCATTAGGAGGAGAGCCAGAAATTACAGATCGAGTGGAGCTTCGATCCGATCTGTTGCGATTTCTCCACCAGCAACAGCAGCTTGGGCAGCCGCATCCACGACAGCAACGGCAGCAGCGGCAGGGCCACACGAAGGATGGCAACAGATGTTGTTTTGTTTACTTTCGGCCCCCACCAGACGATGCTCAAGTGTTCGGGAGCTGCCCCCTCAAGGTTAGGCGCTTGTGGCAGAAAAGAGCAGCTCAGCGTCAAGTGCAGCAAAAACAGCACGAGCACCAGAAGCAACTGCATCAGCAGCAGCTCCTGCAGAAGCAGCGCAGATGCGACGTCGAAATGGAGACCTCAGACCGCCTGCAACCCCTCAGCAATGAGGGCAACCATACCAAAAAGCCAGTAGCGAATCAGCGGCAGACAGATCAAGTATCCGAGCTACAGCAGCAAGCACAGCACCGGGGTACGACGAAGCATGGGGAAATGCTGCATCAGGCAGAGACACAATTGAGAGGCCAGCAGCCGAAGAGAACGAAAGCCGTTGAATCAATGACTGGTTGCCCAAGAGAGGCTCCCGACAGCAGTAACCGCAGTAGCAGCAGCCGAAGCAGAAGAAAAGTGCGCATGGCAACCCGACTGGACAACAACGGCAGGATTGTAAGCTACGTGGCTCCTCAGGCACCTCAGCAGCAGCAGAAGGAAGCATTTGGTGCTGCTGATGCATCTCAAAGCAGCAGCAGTAGCGGAAGCAGCCAACGCGAGCACGGTTCTCAAGTAAGCGTCGCTTCAGATGTACTGAAAGCTAAAATGGGCATCTTCGACCAGAGCAAAGAGGGGACGAAGCTCCCCAATAATGCCCCAGGGGCCCCTACGGGGGCCCAGGCTGCAAGCTATGGCGCGCTCCTCGCACTGGAGATCATCACGGAATGTCCAACTGCAACACCAACGGAAGCAGCAGCAGCAGCAGCAATTCCCAACCCCTTCACCTGTGCGGTTTTGGCCATTTGCTTCGTTCTAAGAGATGAAAGGCTGCAACTATGCACGGCGAGATTGCAGCAGCAGGTGAAAGAGGAGCACCAGCAGCAGGAATTGTTGTACTCCGACGTAAGCGGTGTAATTATAAACGATCCCATTGGGCCATCCGGGACATCTTGTTGGCGTCCTCCCTTGGCTCCTGGGGTCCCTCAGAGGTCGTCCAAGAGCATCAGTTCCGGCTGTATTGATAGCTGCGTAGACAGGCAGTGGTGGCGGTGTGTGGTTAGTAGCGAAAAAGAGTTACTGCTGAAGTTTTGCAGCGTGGTCGCAGCTGCTGACCCATCGCTGCTGCTGCAGTGGGAAGAAGGAGGTCGAGGCTTCAACTTTTTAGGCCGGCGTGCGGTTGCCCTGGGCATAGGCCACCTGTTCAAACTGCGATGCAGCCGCAGGTGAGGCAAGAGGTATGGCGTGACAATAATGAGGTATACACGCAGTGAAACGATATACAACTTGAAGTGCTTGCAGGCTGGTAGACGCGCCAACCAGCAGACAAACACTGGCGACAAGCGATAGAAAGCCAAACACATAGACGCACGGGCACCAGGCACGGTGTTAACACCAACCAAGCCGAGCCTGAATTACAGACACAAACAACACAGATAAGAAGAGGTAGCGCCTGTGAGGCTATCGACGTTTTGAGCTGTGAAAGGTGAAACGCGCCACATGACGCAAACAACAACGAGCTCCTTCAACAGGATTGACATTTGTACAGCAGGTAGGAGAGTTACCTCATGTGGCGTTGTTGCGCAGGGCGGATGATATCTCATCTGCCCCCATCTGCTCAGGGGTGCCCAAAACAGATATCACTGGGATTGCAAAGGCTTCAGGGGTTCCAGGAATGGCTGGAACCCCCGCGGCACCTGGTGGGAGGTCCGGGGTGCGGAGGAGGAGACGGTGGGTGCGTGGGAGCTCTGCGGTCTCTGGCCGTCTTGTGCTTGAAGGCTGGCGGCTGTTGCAAAAGGAAGTGAAACTGCAGCACTCCGACCTGAACGGAGTTGCAGCAGATGTCTTGGGAATCATCGCCCCATCGATTCCCCCGGCCATCATTGCAGCCATATGGCAGCAGGCGCAGGAGATGAGAAGAAGAAAGATGATACAGCAACAGAACCAGCAGCAGCCACAGGATGAGGAAGATTTATGGGCACTGCAAACGATAGCTAATCTCTTGTCGCACGTCATGAATAGGTGAGCGGGCCAAATCCCATTTGTCTCCATACGTTGTCTATATGCACTAGCAGAACACGCCAACAGGCATGGTGTTGGGGGACAATATGCTTGCGTCCCTATTTGTATCCTGCTCAGAGTGCGGCTTTGTCTCCGCCTCGTGGACAACAGCGAAGTGCTGCCCCGTACATGCGAACTCGCCAGACTTTACGGCTGCTCGCTGCACTCTGCACTGACACGCGGCAGTCAGTTCAAAGTAGAAAATATACTTCTCAGAGCAACCAAACGGCTTAACTGTGTCCTCGTCTCTCCCTCCAAACAACAGGCACGCCTTACCCGCATCAGGGGCACAGTGAAGCCTACTTCAGTAGCTTGCAGCTTAGTCATCGCGGCTAGGGGAGGGTTTCGGGTTTGAATATGATAGTGCTATATTTCAGGGGACCGTAAGGTGGAGGTTTAGTTGAGGTTTGGCTGAAGGGTTTCCAAATTTGAGCCTGGTTTATGAACAGGGTTTAGACGAGGGTTGACAATTTGGTTCTCAGAAAATGGTCCACAGGGTGCTAACCGTGAGGTGTTGTGTGCGCTGCAGGTCACGGAGCAACCGGCCACTGTAGGGGTGCCTTTGGTTCTTGAGCCCCTTTCAGGGTTTTACTTCTCACCTGTTCTGGTTCTGGACTTTCTGTCCCTTTACCCTTCAATTGTAATTGCCAACAACATTTGTTACTCCACTTGTCTAGGCTCAGTTGAGGTCAGGTTTTCGTCTAACAGAATATTAAAATCTACAGAACTCCGAGATGCCGCACAATTACTTGGAACCAGTCATTCAGGTTCTACGGTGAACGACTTGTAGGACATGCTCGCGCTAGGGCGTACGATTTCTGGGCTTAGGTCTTGGGTTTACGGTTCACAATGTGGGGCTTGTGATCAGGTGGATCCTCTGGAGTCTGAAACGAAGACGCTCGGTGTCTTGACGGTCCATGCGCCTCCCCAAATCTTTGCGCAAGTCATGCAAGCGCATGCAGACGCCACGGCTGCAGGACGTGAGCCCGAAGCACTGGTAGCGGAGCAATCAGGCACCAACCTGAGGACTTCCTCGTTAGTGATGTGCCTGGCGAAAGGACGTTTGGTGCTTCCCGTGCTTTAACACGTCAGGCCTGTGCTCGTGGACTCCACATAGATCGGCATGGCTGTTTGTTGTTTGTTATTTGCTTGCCTATTTGTTGGCTTCTTCTACAAAATACCTATTAGCGCTCTTGTCGCCCTTTATTATTATTTGTGTACGGACACACGCTGTGCATCGAAGAACTCTGTTGCTTTTTCCTGTTTTTCTATGCCGGGTTGTCTAACAAGGCTGCCCAACTTGTCAGGGTGCGTGCGCAGCTTCCTCGTGGCCCAGTCCGGGGGCCTCTGGAGAAGATCCCATGCGGGTACTGCCCGGAGGTAGCGTCTTTGTTTCACGCCGCGTCCGTCAGGTCGGTAATCGTCTCTATATGTGATTTTTGCGGCAACCGGCCATGGATTTAGAATGGAGAATTCAGGACTGAGAGCAATAAACTAAACAAGTGCTTTAGCCACCAACCGATCTGCTGCACGGCAGAGACGATGCCTCAGGGAGGCTTGCAGGGTGCCAAGAGAGAGAGTGCACACTCCCATTGAATGGCTGCTGACAGCCGGCTGCATCGATGTTTGACTTCCCCTTGTGTGTGCGGAACAGGGTATATTGCCGACGCTCTTAAACGACATCCTGCAGACACGTCTCATGGTGAAGCAGGCGGCTGAGCGATACCAAGGTGACGGCCCACCTCGAACCTTGGTGTAGATACACCACCGCCTTGGGTGCCGGAGTGCAGGCGGAACACCTCAGTCCTTTGTGTGTACTTGCTAGTTGGTACTGCAGCTGCTGGCGGTGCATTTACCTATTTGTGAAGATCGGTACACTGTTACCAGGCGCCGGGGCACAGCACCACAAGTCAAGGATTCAGCGGGCAGAGTCACGGACTCTGCGTGCTCAGGCTAGGTTCCCAACTTCAGTTGTGGGCTTGCTCGATGGGATCTCTGTTCAGGTGGAGGGCACGCGGACCAGACGCTCTTGAGGAAACTAGACTATCGCCAGTTTGGTCTAAAAATGATTGCTAACGTCACTTACGGGTACGAGTCCATGCACATATGAGCCTGCAATCGCTTTGACACAGATCCATCGTCACCTTCGCATGTTGTCGAAGTAGAGCTGAAACAAATCATGCCTAGTGGATGCTACGGCGAGTTGTGATTGTGCGTGTCATTGGCCTCGTGGTAAATCTATCCACTTCGTGGCGTAATAGTACTATGGATAGGGCCGACATGTTGAACGCTAACATCTGGCTGCGGTATTGCGCGAAATACGTTGCTCGCTGCAGATACACCAATGCAAACGTGAGTGGGAGGATGCCCTGTGCCGATGTGGCGGATGCGATCGTCGAGACAGCAAGGGCCACTTTGATCCGAGCCATGCAACTCATAGAGCAGACTCCAAAGTAGGTAAAAAGCAATCATACGCATAAGCAAATCCCCCTATATCCATCAATATAGTGTCGTGCAGAAAGATCTACACAGGTCTCAAGCCATGCAGAAGAAAGGTTTGTCTGTAAAACGATTTACTCATGCAAGGGGAGCAGTTCACCTACATGGCCCACATAAAGGGAGGGGCCTTATTCATCTGCAGCTTTGGAATCGTTTAGCATATGTACTAACTTACATGTTCTGGTGCATGAAGTGTTAGGGTGGTCCGTTTCATTTGGCCGTTTCCAGCCAAGGGATGTGTCTGGAGGCAACAGCCTATGTCTGGTTCTTTTTTACGTTCTACTGTATTAATCGGATGCATTTGAAGACACTACGCACAATTTGCCTGCTTCACGCTCACTGCGACGCCAGAGGAATGCTGAGGATTGCAAGGATCGGTGATACAGATTGACTGCGCTTATTGAATGTGCTGGCAGTTGGTACGGGGGATTCTAAGCCCCCTGGGGTCTCTAGAAACTTCAACAGGGGGCGCTGCGTTACATGTTCCCGCCGTCGTGCAACTCCTTGCAGGTGGAGCGCTCGCGTGCTGTACGGGGACACGGACTCAGTGTTTGTGTTATTAAAGGGACGATCACTGGAAGCTGCATTTGCCATTGGGAAGGAGATCGCAGAAGCTGTAACGCTGAGCAATCCGGCCCCCATTACATTGCAGCTTGAGAAGGTAACACCAGCAAAATCACTCTACGGGCTGCAGTAGCTGTTTCCAGCAGCAACAACAGGAGCGCCACCAGCTGCAGTTGGTGCTATTCGAGGTGTACCTGCCCAGTTAGTCGCGCTTTACTATTGCTTGTGATGTGTCGATCCCGCGGCTGGCGTATGCATGACTGCTTGTCTTAGTTCGGAATCAAGCCAGACAAGACGTGCCTGCAGATGTTAGCTGTTAGCTCGCATGAGGAGGCAGCCCGCCGAGGCTACACTTTGTCGCTCTTCAGAGCCTTGCATGTAAATGTGCGGACGGCTGCATAATCTCCTTGTGCGAGTGCGTTGTATACACGCTGCATCTCTGCACGAGAGCAAGGCCCACTGTGTTGAGTACATACCCCTTGAATGTTGGGGTGTACGCGGACCTCAGGTATATCTGCCGTGCTGCCTGATCACAAAAAAGAGATACGTTGGCCACGCGTACTTCTCTCCCTCCGGGCCGCCGACGTTTGATGCAAAAGTACGTTTGCGACTCTCAGAGTATTGTTGGTGTTTAGGGTGTAAGTGAAACGCGTTCTATCCTTGCTGCCGAACTCAGTCCGTCTGTTGTTTCTAGTGTCTCTCCACAAATTACAGGGCATAGAGACCATCCGTAGAGACCAGTGTCCCCTGACATCGGCCCTTTTGGAGAAAAGTTTGCGCGTCTTCTTCCAAACGCGAGACCTTTCCAAGGTCAAGAATCTGGTGCGTCCTGCTGCTGCCACCTCCCCCGATTGTGTGTGTATGAAGTTGAACATGCTGCAACTCAAAAACGGATACCAGTGCGGGAAGTGCGCAATTGTCTACGCTTGCGCGTGTATGTTCTTTATCGAATGGAAGTATTTTCGCAGGCAGAATGGCGCAACACGTCCCTGATAATGCATCTGAGCAAGCGCTCGATTGCTTGTGTGCTGCTGCATCTACGTTTACTTGCTATTACAGTTGCTGCAATTCGCCCAAAAACTCAGCAAACGCATTTCCGGCATGATGTGTTTTTTCAGCTGTACAGACAGTGGAGCAAGATGTTACGAGGCCAAATACCCATCCGACATTACATTTTTCATAGAAGGGCGAAACTTGGTAAGGTAGAGACCTCATGCATTCCAATCTGCGCATGCCAGTGCATGCAAATATGCTACTGCATTAGGAAGGATGTTATGTATGCGCACCGTTCGTATCTCAGCTTTGGATACCTGCAGTATCGGCTAGCTCATTTCAGCAAATGCCTCAGCTCCTCGGCAGAGATCACGGACAGACAGGCACAAAAGCCCAGATGAACACATTGGCTGCATATTTGAATATGCACGCTTGTAAACGCTTCGTCTCCTAAGCAGTTTCTCAAGAGTGTGGTTTGGGTCCTAAGACTGGCACTTGCGCCTTGGAACGTCTCTCAGGCACATACCGTGCGGAGACGGGGGAGGCACCTGCGGGAACCCTTCCCCCCCAAGCAAAAGTGTTGTATGAGCGGCTGCATCACCAAGGACAGGGAGGAGGAGCAGCCTTAGGGGCTGAATGTTACGGCGTGCGCGTACCCTTCGTGTTTTCTCAAGTGGCGGGAGACACGGACGTTCCCCTAGGTTCAGCAGGTGCTGGGCTCAAGGGGGGCACCACGAGGCTCATCGACTGCGCCACATCCCCAGACAATGTCTGGGGTGGTCGGCGTGATTCCGCAGAGATGCAGGCACTGTTGGAGGGACGGGTGCATGCCTACATACAGCCCTTTGCTCTCCTGCAGCAGCCAGAAGACGACTTGCTCCAGCAAGAGCAGCAGCAACAGCAGCATGAGCATCCAGTCGCGCAGCTTCACTACCGCTACTATATTACCAAACAAATCATCCCTGCTATTGACAGACTCTTCTCCCTGTTGCCCCCCCCAGGATCTGCAGATCTGCTGCAGTGGTTCAGGGACATGCCCAAGCCTGCACAGCCACTGGCGGCCGCGGTAGCATGCCGCTCACGTCAGACACCTCAGCACCAGCAGCAACAGCTGCTGAGACAACAGCAGCAGTCTTTACTGCAGCAACTCGGAATAAAGTCTCTGACGGCGAGCGGCACAGCCAGGGAACGGCTTGTGCTGCAGCGCTTTTTTGCAAGTGCGTCATGCCTGTTCTGCGGCATAAGGTGCAGAGAGTTGGGTCATTTTCCTTTGTACTCCTCCTCGAAGAAAGTTATTAGACTCGCACAAACAAGTAAACGAAAGAAAGCAATGCGCGCCAACCCGGAGGAGGCGGAGGAGGCAGCTGTTCGTAGAAACCTGGTGCAGCAGCTGCTGCAGACCGACTTCAGCAACCCCAGCAGCAGCAACAGCAGTGGAGATGAGGAGCGGCATCCTCTGCAAGGGCTTATGCATCGGGGGAAGCAGAAAGGAAAGACTACTGATCTGACGAAGAGAGAAGTTATTTTAGTGCCTCCCCCCGTCTGCAAGGAATGCAGCAGCAATCCTGCGCTCGTTTGCCTCCACCTCTACCAGCGACTGAACAAAGTCGAGCGCAGACTGGCAGCAGCAGCAGACATGTGCAGACACTGCGCAGGTGAGCATCGCAACACCCGATATGACAAGACCGCCCGTCAGTATTTTATCTTTTGTAATATACATCACACATACGATTATGTACATCTCGTATATACGCATATGTGCATCCAAAGTGCATCCATATGTATTTATGTACGGATATCTGTGCGTTTTCTCGCATAAATTACACAGACATACAGTGTTAAGGCGGGACGTAGCAAAGGCTGAAGGCGGCTTTGTTGTTAGCTTTGTGTACGCATTTCCACATGGGTTATAGTCATCGAGCGATACATTGTGAGGACACAGATGAATATCGTTGTGCCACAGTTTCACGGTTTGTACCTCTGTGTGCCTAACACGGGTGGCATGAAGCCTGTGTGTAACAATACGCCGTTCTGAAATGTGTGCATGAGCTACTGTAGATAGGGAAGCGCATGCTACTACGGGTTTGAAAGAGAAGGCATATTATTTTTGTAAAAGGTAGCATTTCGCCACGAAAATGCGTTGTTGGGATGCTGCCCGCAGGCTCTCGCGTATGCGCAGAAAGCTGCCTTCAGGCCTGGCACTGTGATGTGTACTACCGAAGGAACTCGGAAGCCGAGAAGCTCAAAGTTGTCCGTCGCCAAATGCAAAACTTAGGAATATTTATAGACAGTTGAGGGTGCAGACGCCCTAGTTAGTTGTATAGAGACTTTCAGGAGCAAATCACTTCCTCCGCTGAGTTTCTATACATGCAGTTTGGCTAAGTGCCTCAGAAGCTGCTACAGGAACTGCTGTTGCGGTGTCACCAGCAGGGGTCACTCTGGTGATAGTTGTGGGGCGTAGTGGGTAAAGAAAATGCAGTGGGGTTGGCGGTGGCCGAGTATCTTTTTTAGGCGAGATACGGTTGGTCATTTAGGGTAAATTACCGCTTCAATTTGTTTTTTAAATGAATTGTGACGAGAGTCGTGGCCCGTCCAAATTGTTGGCTGCTCGGGACACCGGCCACGGGTGTAGCGGGGCCGGTCTTCGACGAGCTGTCCCATGAAATGGAGTCCAGTTTAAATAATTTAGCCATATTTTTTCATGCTCAAAACTAATAGTTAACGTACATAACATGACAATACGTAAGTTTCACAGCCTACAAGTAATTGCAGTGAGCATCGCTGGGGCCGGCGTTCAGCGGAGGGGGTGCAGCCGACCGATGGGGCCTTTAATCCTCCTTCGGCGCTGGTTCCCTTTTTTCTGTTGAAATCCAGTATCTTTGATTTGGAGCAAAGGCAAAAACTGTGGAAAACTGACTGAAAGACTCATTTCGCCGAGCTTCCGCGTAGCCAGAAGCAGCCCGCGAACGCCAGCAAGCGATCGCGCGGCGTTAGGCACATCCGCCTCACCTTCCTTTGCAACATTAGTACAGTGAAATCCGCGTTCACGTTTATGTTGAGAGGGCTTCTCTGCATATATCACGAGTGAATTAGCGCCATTCACGAATCTTTGTTAGGCAGTTCCTCGGGCATTCACACACGGCAGTCATACGCTCTGGGTTCTTCGAACTCTAGTTAGCAGTTGGCAACTGGCATTATTAGGGTGCGACTCCAGGCGAAGCCTACGGTGCATATGAGCCTATGGTTGCAGACTTAAAGACGCACAGCCCCTCCGCTGCTGCGTGTCGGAAGGTCCGTAATGCTTAATTCTCTTCGGGGGCCCTCCAGGGCCCCTTCCCTGGACTATCTGGAGTTCGAGTCCCCAAACGCCCAGCTGCCTGCACAGGAAGCGGGCCGCAGAGCAACTCACAGGACACCCAAAAGTGGACAGGCTCCAGTTGGCCGCGAAACACCGGCATCAAGAGGCCACGGAGCGCCTTCCCAGCCTGATACCAACCATACGGTGCATAATCTCCTCGAAGATCTGTTAGTTCGCGGCCTTTCGGTAACAGTGGGTCTGCAACCAGGGTCTCCTGCAGGTCCTGCGCTCGGCCTCAAGCCTGAGGGCGTCGTGCTGTATTTGCCCTTGGTGAGAGAGTGCCAGGGGCCCCCGAAGCTGCACGTGCGCGTAAACCGGGGCGAGGCCCCTGGAACCAAGCCACTTCAAGTCTGTCTCTCGAACTCCACAGTCTCATTTTGTACAGAATGGGGCGCGTCGAGCTGCATAGCAGCCTCCGAGCAGGGCGTACGACACCGCAAGTTTGTCGAGACGCTTCCTGCAGGGTATTCCTCGTCGGCAGTGGCGAGCACTGCAAGTCAGATAACAGAGCCCGCAGTTGCAGGCTCCTGCATTGTTCAGCTCATCTCTTCTTGCGGGTCGCTCCTTTGCTTTAAGGCTGACTCGACAGCCCCACTGGAAAATCAGCTCGCACATGACGTCCTCTGCATCTTCAGGGCCTTCGACTTCGATACAAGTCAGTCGCAAACCATGGCTTTGCTAATACTTCTTGCTGACAGTTTCTTTACGTTTTGAAGGAGGGAAAGAAATATAAAGCACCTTAGGGACTACGTAGACTCAGACATAAGTAGAGGCTCAGTAAAGTCGCTGGAGGCGATGTGAGGCTCCGCACGAAATCGAAGACACGCTCAGAGCCCACAAACTCAGTCTTCTGAAGGTGGAGCTTGCAGGTTAAGATAGCTGTGCTTTTCCTGTATTCAGCTAGGCTCTATGGGTGTCTCTGTGCTGCTGTAAAGGAGGCACCAGCCCACAGCCAGTTTGAGGACGTCCTCAACTCCTTGCCACTCTTTGCCCTGAAAACGGGGTGGGTCATCTCAGTCGTAGCTACGCAGCACAAGGAAGGCCCCTAAACCACAATCCGTACAGGTGTTGAGAGCCGGATGGCTTATGCAGGGTCCTGAGTCAGATCCTGAGCATTTCAGATCCCACAACAGCAAGGTACATGCCGGGAGGTTCCTAGTTTTCCCCTTAGCTAAAATATCAATTACTACTGCAATTGCATTGCACAGCTGCCCTTCTGCTGGAGAGAATGGGGTCTTCAAAGAGGCAACCGCGGCGCCAGGCACAACGGCAAAGATACGAGCAGGAACGCTTGCAAGAACTGCAGTAGGGGGCTCTGCCACTGCGGAAAGGACTCGTGAAGACCCATGCTGGCAGTTACCTTCCTGGGGATCCCTTCATACAGCTCTCCCTTGGGCTACGGCACTAGCCTGCAACTGGATTGTGCATATAGCCAACCACGTAAACGCAACTTCAACTACAATAGCTATAAATGCATTTAGTTCACCAGTACTAAAGCTACTGTGTAAAGTTGTGACGCGCTTGAGAGTCTTCGACGTTCCTCGTCGTGTTCTTTACGGAAACCCTTAACTGTAGGAGTTGTGTTCTAAACATTCCAGGAGGATGGCGTCAAGGAGCGGCACGCGCTTATCTGCGCCTTTCGTCGGTTTGTATTTTCCGCAAAAGAGAAAGGACCTGTGATCGCCTCTGGAATCGCCTCTGGAGTAGAATGTCCCAGCGAGGGCTCTTCTCTGGGCCTTGACACCACTGTACCCTCCGAAGCCACAGCTGCCGTAAACATTCAAAAGCCCTCATAAGCCTTAAGCCATAGCAAGCTAAAGCATACACCTCCCTGTAGCTTCCAAAGGAACAACCAACGTTCTGTCTATCTCCGGATATTGTTAAGGGCCCATAACGCACCCCTAGCTACATCCAACCACCCTAATTTTCGACATGTTGTTTCAATGGCAGGTTGCGTCCGTTTGTGGGGAGGCCTCAGAGCGCTGCGTGAAGCCGAGGCAAGACAACCTCAACATTCGTTTAGACGCTAATGTGCTGTTACTCTGTTGATCTTAAACGGGCAGACCCTAAGCGCGAAATCCAGACTAAGAAAAACTCAGTCACTCTTAAAGAGGGCCTCTGAGTGCATTCAGGGACAACTTCCTTCAGTTATTATTTCATGCAGTGTTTGATGCAACTTGTGCTTGTCTGCAGCGAAGAGGATAAGGCCTTACACGGAGATCCAACAAACACCTGCGCCGCGCGAACCCCTCTTAAGTAAATCGTTCCTTAGCCTGACAGGATAAGCTTGGTAATGCAATGCAGTGTAATGCAGCGCTCCTCTATTATGTTTCACCTTGCATCCCTTGCTGTTTCATCTTGTCTCCTTTTGTCCCTGCAGAACGAAAGCGCTGAACCCCTATGCGGCCCCCTTTGTTCCAAGAACCCCGTTCTCAACATCGGGGACGTTCTGTGGATATACACTTCTCAAGTCGAGTCACAGTGCAGAGGGTCACTGTGAGGGCACCACCGCAGCAGCAACCGCACAAGCAGACGTGACACGAGCGCCGGCAGTACCAAGCAAAGCAGCGGAAGGAAATACAACAAATGCCTCCCCTATTCCTATGCAGCATCTAGATTCGTTTAAAGGGTCTCGAGGTGACAGCCAAGGAAGCCCCAAACAACTACTAATAGGCCCCCAATATGCTGGAAAGTTTCAGCGATGCAAAAAGTCGTCTTCCGCTACTACCCAGAGGGTCCCCAAGCTAGAGGTCCCAGGATCTTTGCGGGATACAATTCCCGCTATGCAAGAACAGGAAAGCAGGCAACAGCAACAATATCATCAGACAAGCAAGCAGCGCCATCTGCAGCAACTGGGACTACAGAGCATATCATGGAGGCGTCGGTCGCATTCTGCACCCTCAGGGAGCCCAGGATCAGCGGCAGGAAAGGCAAAGGCCCCGTCAAAGGAGCGTCAATACACCCCATCTGTTATGCTGGGTCTGAGGAAACATTCTCTGCGGTTGCAGCAGCCTTGCAAGGCCTTTCACTTCGTGCTGCAGCAGCAACAGCTACAACGCGGTCCAGATGAGCCCCCCGTGACGTCCTTCTCGCCTAATGCTGTACCTGCTACGGCTGGAGCAGCGGCCCCTCATGCGTGTTCTTCCCCAGCCTTGGGGGGTGCAGTTACCCCATGCCTTTCGAGGCCACAAAACCACGAGATGTTCTGTGCGCCTCCCCCGCCACCTCTTCCTCGTCGACAAGAGGGTCAACTACAGCACCGACGAGGCCACCAACAGCAGCTAAAGAAGGGACAGCCGTCTGGCTGCTTGGGAGGATCCTGGGATGGTTTTGCCAATGCGGGACCCCTCCTGCCTCTTCCGAAGGTTGCGCCTTCGGGTCCCCCTCTCCTACCCACCCCGAGGGGCCCCCCGATTGCAGCTGTCCCCTTCCATCAGCTTGAGCAGGGAGGATTGATGACGAGCTATTGGGGCTCTGCTGGCCCAGGGCCTACAGGAGCAGCAACCCATGGTGGAGTTACTTGGATCCCAGGGTCTACCGGGGCTGTTGGTGGACCGCCAGTGAGGCCGTTACTGTGCTCCCCTATGCACTACGATGGAATCAGAGCTCCCCTGCAAACAGTGCTGTTGCAACAGCGTGATCTATTGCAACAGCAGCTGCAGACCCAACTGCAACAAAGGCTACTGTTGCAAGGGGTCCCATCTGCTGTCTTTCCAGAGAAACCCGGTCCACCCAACCCCGAACATCTTCGCAGGGCTACACGAGCATCAAAATCTCCCCGAAAGGGCATAGGTTGCCCTCAACAGCGAAGACAGAAACAAGTTCAGCAGCAGCAGCACCAGCCACTACATAGCCAGGATGCAAGCAACAAGATGACCGCGGGCGAACGAAATGACCCCTTGCCTAGGGCTTTCCCTTTGTCTAACGAAGCAGCACTTCAGAAGCTGCTAGGGATGGTCACCTCACTGTTGATGTCTCGTTCAGGATGTAAGGAACTACCGCCGCAGCAGCAGTAGTAGTAGACCTCATGTTAATATGTTTCCCATTGCAACACGAGGAGGCCTCAGCGGCATTGGCAGCAAGCAATTCACTCTGCCAGATTCAGCTTGCTGCTATATTCATGTAGCGGACTAGCTGCCCACAAGTATCGGATCTGTAGCGGACTGCGAAGTGTCCTGGTGGTCCCCAAAAGAACAAATTAACAAGGGATGCCATTCGTTTTATCTCTAGCTGTTTTCTGACAGGTGGCTAACTTACGGCTCACTGCGCTCGTGGCATGCTTTTGCCGTGCTAGCTACCGAAGCTGGAACTTTGAATTTGAATCAGTTTGATTGCTCTCGGGTATACTGTAGCTCGCTGTCTTCATGCGGTTTTCTGTTTTCTGCCTGTGACAACGAAGCGCGCATGCTGAGACTGCTGCGCCTCTATCATATTGTTTCATTTAAAACTTAAATTAGTAGCAGTCCCATTCGAATGAGTTCTAAATCACGAAGACACCCAAACCCTAGCAAAACACATTTATATCCCAGGGTGTGGGGGCCTGAATACAGCATTCTCCACTTTGAAGGGCTGTAGATGAAAGAGAGCAGCGCCGAATACAGTATAAAGCTACTGGCAAGGTTAGCTCAGATCTCCACTGAGCTAGCTACGGGCTCGGTGCTATTCCTCATCGTCAACCGGTTTCCCTAGAGAGCTCACCCTCTAAATGAGCTAGTTACGATCTCAGTGCTCATCCTCGTCGTGAACTGGCTTCCTTAGAGGGTGCGGGACGGGGTCATGGGTGTAGCCGTCAAGCCTTTCGGGTCCCACTAAGTCTGGATGGGCGTTGGCTTCAACGAAAGTAACGGGGTCCTTGAGTATTTCTTTGTGGTCATACCGGGGGTGTAAAGAATCAAATGTGTGGTAGACATTTGTCTTCAAATGCGTGATGAACTGCTGGAAGCTGCGAGCCCCCAGGGGAAGGGCAATGGGCTCGCCATTTTCATCCAGAGGCAGCTCTTCTTCTTCGTCGTCTTCTTCCTCGTGCTCCTCTTCAAAAAGCTCGAAGTCGTCGGCTTCCCCCTCGCCATCAAGAGACCCCTCTTCAGGGGCATGATACACCTTCTGCAGCAATAGCGGTTGCAGGTATTCGTCTCCACTGCGGCGTGGGTCGGCTGAGGGAAGACAGACAAAAGCGCATGAATATTGTCCACTTCCATTGTAGCGAAACGGCATCACTGAGGTAACAAACCATTCTAAGAATGTATTAGAACTTAAACCAACACAGGGGCGTGGAACGAAAGAATGACCGGGGGGGGTTGTTCACGGTCCCTGGTTGGCAGCTGCCGGTTGCTCGCACAGCATTATTTTTCCGTCTGCATCTCCCCTGCTCGTTTTGTCACTAGCTGGCGCATTTTCAGATGCCTCTAGATAACGCCAAGTGCATGGCGCTTGCTCATATCAGCTTAACAAGTGTGCGTGAGTCTATCCGCAGTTGAGCCCTCTTACCTTCAACTTTGACGGTGCCGTCTGGCCGAGAGCTTCCACTGCGTGTGTCTCTGACTATCCAGTGTACGCTTTTGGGGGCCCCGTATTTTCTGAAGGTCCGGTCGCTTTTTTTGCTGATGGGCAAAATTGCGCCGTGTGCGAGAAAGGCCAAAGGCTGCGGGCGGCCCAGCTCCAACTCGCTGTTGAACACCCACGTATGGTGCATGTGATCGTAGTATAAAAACATAGACGAGTCCTGTCCTTCCTAAACGCAAGCAAGCAGCGCGAAAACAAAACTCTTTACCCTTAAGTGGACTCAGTGTGGGATAAAACAACGAGCTGGAAAACAAGGAGAGGAAGTGGGAATATCTCTAAAAACGCTGCCCGCCTCCACCTGCGCTGTGGGGTTACTTCCCTGGTCCCCGAGTGTACTCAGCAGCGTTTAAGCTTCCTTATCAAGAATATGCACCTACCTTCTGCCAAATGAGTCTGCCGTGGTTGAGGTGTGGCTTGGGCCTCCCGTCTTTGATCATGTACATCTTGTATGTGCCGGAGATCGCTGGGAGACGCTTGCCGCCGCTAACACTTAGAAAGCGGGGTAGAAAAACCTGTTTTGTATGTACACCGATGATATGAGTGTCGTTGTGCTGCCCATCAACAAAGGGGAGGCGGTAGAGAGGCGTCTTCAACCCAGGCACACCATCCGACAGGTGCAGGTCTTCGTGAGACACTCCATCCTATGTGGGTGCAGCACAAGACAAACCGTGACACCGGTGACCTACACGCGGACCCTTGCACTTTATTGGGCGTTTGAATCTGTTGAATAGCAGATTAAACGTGGGTCTAACCGTATTTAACTAGTTACATGAATGCGCTTCCGGTACTTCTGATACTGTAGGTGGCGGGATCCAAGTGGGCATGGCTTGCATTGGAGACCTACCCATATGTCGATGTACTCGGGTTCGTCTGGATGTTGCTTGCCTTCATCGAGATATTCACTGTGAAGGTATTCGGAATGAGCTGTTGCCAGATATTCACTGTCTACGTGCGACTCTTCTTCTTCCTCTTCTGGCAAGTCGTGGTCACCCTCCTCTGTCTCCTCCCCACTCCAGTGCTCTTCTTCCCCATTCTCCTCTCCTTCGGTCACATTGCCGCTGTCCTGGGGTGGTGGTGCTGCATGTGCTGCGTGGTGATGAGGGAGGTGTCGGGTGTTGTTGGGGTGCTGAAGGGCTGCTGGTGGTGGCGAGTGCACACGCCCCAGATAAGCCGTCCGCTGGCCCACCAGCGCTGGATCAGCTCCAGAAATATCAAAGGAAGCCGTTTGGTCAAGGTTGTACTGCTGGGCGCTGCTAGGCGATCGGCTGAAGATGGAAGAAGAGAAGCAAAAGAACACGAGAAGCACCACCGCTGCGAGAGCAAGCCAGAGGCGGCTAGCCTGAGACACAAAGGAGGGAAAATGTGAGCTAACCCATTCTGGAGGTGTGGAAATGAGACCAGGATTCGCTACAAGTTACGTGTCATGCCTTGTACNGAGCTAACCCATTCTGGAGGTGTGGAAATGAGACCAGGATTCGCTACAAGTTACGTGTCATGCCTTGTACTGCTTATCCTCTGTCCACCTCATCGGTGCCTCCGGTGTTATGCAGTGACATGCAGGGCAAAGCATAAACACGTAGCTGAAAAAGTCCTCAGCTTACCTTTTTAAGATAATCAAACGGTGTCCTGTCTTTGGGTTCTTCATGGGAGTACGACTTCCCAGCTGCAGTTTCGAGGTCGAAGTCTGCCGAGGCCGAAGACAGGCGGGTCCTCATTACGGGCGCATCCATGGCAGCTACAAGGAAGGAAGGCGAAGAGAAAAATACAATAATAGAGAAGTCTAAAGTTCAAGCTCGATGATGCGCTTGCAGATCAAGCGAAAGAAGGCGACAGAAGACGACGCTCTGAAGCTTGGCTCGGCCAGTGCAAGTGGTTCAGGTTCAGTGAGCGGAAGGTACCAGGGCCACGCGCAGACGGAAGCCTCAATTACTAGAAGCAAAAACAAACATAAAACAATCGGACTTAGTATTTGTGAGTACAGACGAAAGAAACAGACGTAAGGTGCCAGCTAGACGGTTGCGGCAACTTGCCGCAACAGCAAGGGCGGTGAGGTCTTGAACCGGAGGCGGGCGGGCGG